GTTACCAGTTTATTTTATTAAAATTTTACTTTTTTGAGAAGTTGAAAAAATTTTAAGTGTTACAATTTTTATTGTCAAGCTAAGACTTCCGACACCATATAATATTTATTAGTTAGTCTAATATACTATCATAATACTATCATTATATAAATCATAAAAGTATTATAATTATATGATATAAATTATAGCAATGTCAAAAAGTATATACATTAAATAATAATTTTTTAATTATTATTATTATATTAAAAAATATAAATTAAAAATATTTTTTTTACTTTTTTTATTTTTTTTTAAATTAATAATAATAATTATTAATAAATAATAAATGTTATTTTTATTATTTTTATATATATATATATTTTTATATTAAAATTTTTTATTTTTTTATTATTAATTTATTATTTTTTTTAAAAAAAAAATTTAAATATTAAATATTCTATAATTACAATAAAATCTTTTTAATAATAATTACAACTTATAATAATTATTAATATAAATTAAAATACAAAAAACAATGAAAAGATAAAATAAAATAAAATATAATATATTTAAAAAAAAAATTTCATTTTAATATTTTACTAATAAAATAATATATATATATATATATATGTTATATACAAAAAAAAAAAAAAAAAAAAAAAAAAAAAAATAAATTAAAAAAAAATTTTTTTTAAAAAAAAAAATAAATAATTAAAAAAAATATTTTTTTTTTTTTTTTTTTTTTTTTTTTTCCAAACTCTTAATTTTATTATTTTTTTTTTTTTTTACTTTTTTTATTTTACTTTACCCATATATTGAGCATACATTTGTAATGCTTTAACAATATATTCACTATCCATTGTAATCACATCTCCAAGTGCAAATTTACCAACATTAGTAAGATATAGTGTAGATATTGAATTCTAAAAAATTTTTAAACAGGCAATATTTAAAAATTTAGCACAAACATATATTTTCAAGAAAAAAAAATAAATAAATTTACCTCAATTCTTGTAATTAAACTTTCCATGATTTTCAATAGTTCTTCATCACTAGCATTTTCTTCTTTAACATGAAATGTTAAACCTGATAAATAGTCCAACCTTGAAGCTCGTGTATTTCGAATAATTGCATTGCCTGACGATAGGCGTTCAAGACGAAGACATAAATATCCAAGTGCTTTTATAATTGCAGGGTTTAATATTTGTGTAGCAGGAGGCTCATATATTTTCTATATAACATTAAAAGATCAATTATTAGAAAATATTTCATACTATTCTAACAAGAAAAAGATAAGCGATAGATTACCGAAAAGCGGACTTTTGCTTGATCTTCTTCCATTCGACCCTTAAGTGCCGATGGATAAACCTTTATATAAAGAAAAAATTAAATTTTAATATAATTATTAAATTTCGTTATATTCCAAATAAAGACTTACCAAAGACAATTCTTCGGGATTTTCTAATCCTTTCAACTTTTTTTCTCCAATCTTTCTCAAAACAAACCCAATTTTTCTCAAATGAATAAGATTTTTGCCTAAAATACCATTAGTAGGTTGTGATGGAATTCCTTGCATATCTTCATCCGTACTGTTTTTCCTGAAAACCGAGTCATCACCGCCTCCATCCATCAAAAAATCCAGCCTCCTAATTTCAGCTTCTACATCTGAACTTACACAAATTTGCCCACCATCAGCAGCATTACATATTCTTGCTGCTCTATTAACCATTGGCCCAAAATAATCCATTCTTTTCGTTACTATATCAGTTTCACACACTGGTGATCCCCAATGTATTCCCATTCTAACGGATAATCCTTTATATATCAAATCTTTATGATTCTTACTATAAACTACTTTTCCATCTTCCGATTCAATGATTTCTGATGGCCAATCAACTTGCAAAAGTTGAACTTGTACAGTAAAACACCATAATAAGGCTGACGCTACAGTAGGGAAAGATACCATGAAAGCATCTCCTTCCGTTTTAACTTCATAACCACCTATATTACGTAACTGTCTACGCATAATAGTATTATGTTGTTTAATAGCATGTCGCATAGCAATCGGTATAGTTTCCCAAAGAAAAGTGGAATTCTTTATATCTGTAAAAACCAAAGCAAGTTTTCCTATTGGTGGATCAATTTCTTCTTGTAATCTTGCCATCATAGAATCATTCGGAATTTTCTCTTTTCGACCACGCTTTTGTTTTGTACTTGCTTCATCACCAACGAGACCTTCAGGACCTCTACGGAATCGACGGTTAAATAAATCACCAACTCTAATAATCATTACCATTATATTTTCTTCTGCGCCATAAGATATTGCAAAATCACGCAATTTCTGTGCAGCGCGCATTAAATCGTCCTCAGTCCTTGCAACATCCACAGCTGTTTGGTAACTCATATGGTCCCATAATCCACGAGTTGCTAATATAATAAGCTCGTCTTGCTCTGAAAGTTGAATTTTCTCTACATAAGGATTAGCATTAATAATAGGTGTCAAGTGAAAATGACCGAATGATCGTGATACATCAACTTCTCCATTTACTAAACAATTGTGCGATATAAATCCTCCTGCTTCTCTAATTCTCACTACCTCACCAGGAAAAATTGTACTTTGGCCACGAGCAATTTCTTGAGCGTTACCATCATTACGACCAATAATAGCTTTAATGTCACCTACATGGGCAACGTAAAGTAATTTGCCAGAAATATAGACTACTATGCCAGAGGCGCCTGCCTTGTTATCATCAATTCCTAATGCAACAGGATTAGTGCTTTCAGACTCCCATGCATACTCAAATTCCATGGGTATGTTAGAATTAAAAACTTTAAGACCAAGTTCCTTATTTAAACTCAAGAAGGATCGGCGTAATGCAGATTCTACTATATCATTATCTTTCAACTTCTCAAGTTCATTCTTAAAATGAAATTGAAACCAGTCATGAAGATATTTATTAACCCGTCCACCTCTATTGGTACCGGCATGACCTTCAAATAAACCAAATAAACATTCATCCTTACGGCCACGAAATTTGGGAATTACCGCTTCCCACGTGGACAAATTATCGGAAGTACCTAAAGTATCAGCCATCCCGTAAGCCATTGAATTGACTTCAGAACTAGAAGTTCTGACACGTCGATTATCAGTTTCATCAGGAACTGTCAAATGCAACAGAGTAATGTCCATAAGACCAAGCACACGAAGTCGCGTTAAAGCACCAAAATCAGCAAGGTTACGATCTCGGAGAGGATTTATTTCGTTTAAATGTGCGGGTTTTATCTCAAACCGTTTATTTCCTGATAAGTTAAGATATTTGAGTTCAATATTCCAGTTCCTATAAAAGATAATGGATTTAGATTAAAAATTCTTAAATTGATTCAGTCAATATAATGAAATCGGTCATACCAATTCCACTCATATTGCCAATTTGCGATATTATATTTTAACGCGTTACTTCCAACATCCAACACGACCAATCTCCTTATTTTACTCAATTCAGCAGGTAAAGTCTGCAATTTATTTCCATTAATATGTAGAATTTTTAAATTGGTCAACCTTTCAATATCATCAGGAAGCGATGATAATGAATTTCCAGAGAGATATAATTCTGTTAAATGAAGAATTGTAATACCAGTAGGAAATTCATCCAATGAATTAAATGAAAGATTAAGTATTCTAAGTTCAGTGAATAAAGAAATGGCAGAAAAAACCTCAGTGGTTAAACGATTGTCGCCAAGATATAATGCACGAAGGGAATAACTAAGAGATAAATTAGAACGAGCTAAATTAGAAGGAACGGATGATGGTTGATTAACATCTATAGATGAAGGTAATGATAAAGGTGGAGGCATAGGAAATTGTTCAAGAAGATTTGAACTAGCATTCAATGTTACTAAACTTGCACAAAACCAAATTTCTGGAGGAAGTGAGCTAAGATTATTATTGTGAATGTCCAAAACTCTTAAAGCTGTTAGAGAACTAATTTCACTAGGAAGTGCTGAAAGGGTGTTATTCGTACACGAAAAATTGGTTAATCTCTTCAATAAACCGATTGACTTGGGCATTGATGTCAATTGATTGTTAGAGATATCTAACTTTTCTAAAGATTCAAGATGTTCAAATAACCCATCTGATAATGCTGTTAATTTAGAATAAGCTAGTGATAGATCTGTTATTGAAGATTTAGTTCCCATGAGCGAGAACTGTGTGAGCCTATTATTTGATAATATAAGTTGTTGTAATGAGCTAGATGATAAATCTACTATGCTCACATTATTTGATTCTGCAAGGAGAACTTCAAGATTTGGCACTAAGGATAAAACGTCAATATTAGAAAATTGATTATGACGAATATCCAATTCTCGTAAACAAATTAATTCGTTGAAGCTCGAGGGTAATGTACCCATTATTTGATTTCCAATCAAAAACAACCTCTTCAAGTTTATAAGTTTACCAATTTCCAATGGTACAGATTTTATATTATTAAAACTAATATCTAACTCTGAAAGAGAAATAATATTGCAAATTGCCGGAGGAAATTCAATGAATGAATTGTTGGAAACATTTAAAATGTTTAGATGATGAAAATTTACAAAGGATTCAGGTAAGCTTGTTAATACATTGTTATCAACTTGGAAGTTCGTTAACTCTGTAAGGCTGTCCAATTGTGCATGCTCGAGATCTCGTAAACGATTGGAACTAAGATTAAGACTTGAAAGCATTTGAGATTGTCTAACGGACTGTGGAACACGTTCCAATTCATTTTGAGAAAGATGTAATTCTTTAAGTTGATGACAAGATTGTATAAAATCTGTAGGAAGATCAAGCATAAGATTTTGAGAAACATTGAGTGAGCGAATAAAATATGCCTGACGATAGAGAAATATTGGAATTGTCTGTAAATTTCGAGCTTGAAGATCAACATGCTGTATGGAAGAGAAAGCGCCTTGTTCTTCCTGAAAATAACAGGTTAAATATTAAATCATCAAAAATGCTTAAATAATTTATTAGGAAAAAAAATTAGATAATAATTATAACAAACCTCAAACCTAGGAACGGTTGTCTCACGGAAAGTAAAACGAACCAAATAACTATTGTCCTCTCGACCTAGGTCTTCTAAATTGTCATGTTCTGTATAACCTTCCTGTTCGAGCCATTGCTTTTGTAATTTCAATGGTCGTTCTTTTGACGATAACATACGTTCTATAATAAAAATTCTTATTAAAAAAATATTTCGAACTTACATAATAAAAAGTATAAAAATAGTTACCCAAGTTATGCCTTTTTACATATAAATTATATTTTGATATGTCTTGGATGAAAAATTTTTTACCAAGCATATGACATAATTCGGCCGTCGTTGTGCTCAAATAACAACTTACAGTGCCAAAAGTTGCATCAGGTCGGAAGATTCGAATACAATACTACATAATAAATTTAAAAGTCAAATAAGTTTGATCCTTCTAATCATAAATTACTTCAAATTTTATAAGCTATTCTTCTAAATATTGAGATAACATGTACCAATTTTTTACTACTATCCAATGGCTCATTATTATTATCATCAACTAAACTATCATCTTCTGGGAAAAATTGTTGATCATTTGGCTGTGGTTTCCGAACCGCCCATGATTCTGGTGGGGACCACATTTCAGTATTACTAGCTGATGGTAAATGTATCCAATCACTGGATTCCGATTCCTGTAACATTTCTTCGTACGATATAATTGTAGTAGAAACACTCGAAAGTCGATGTTCACGGTTTTCAGTCCTTATGATGCCATCCATGTCATCTATATCCACTAAAAAAACATGATGATGTTAATGCTTTTTTTGTGCAAGTTAATCGTATGGAAGAATTGAAGTTTGAGTTAAATGAATCAAAAACAGTTTAAGAACGATATCGATACAAATAATATCACTTGGTGTGGCTTCCTACAAAAAAATTTAAAATAAAGATAGGAAAAATAAAATAAATATAATAAAATAAAGATAGAAATAAATTAAAATATTGAAAGATGGGGGAGGGCTAGTAACCAAATATCACCACTTGACCTGATTATCTTACACAAAATTTATAAAAGAGAAAGTTTTGGTTCAAGGGGAATACCAATACTTAGATCTAACTCCATAAAAAAATACAAGAGAAATAAAATTTGCCATACCTTCTTTCTTCCCGACTTTTCTTTTTTAAGACCCACTCTCCAAGGGAGATGGTCACTTTTTTCACTCTTTCCCGATAATGAAGATTTGTTAAAATTTGGAGTTGTCGGTGTAAAAGGATCTTCTCTTTCCATAGTGGGTGTTATAATTAAATTTGGATGAATGTATGATTCTGCATCAGAATTTTTACGATGTATGACTTTAATATATAACAAACAAGTAAAGCGAAATTAGATAATTATATGCGTGTAAAAATACAATAAATGCGTATATTAAATATAATTAATTATATATGCGCGATGGCATAAATGAATGCGCATCTAATAATAAGCAGCTAACCTTCTGGAGGAGAAGACTCTTTATCTTTGGAATTTTTTCTAAACCATTTTGGAAATATTGTTTTCTTTTCTTTTTCTTTATGAATCAATATGCTACCAGAGTCTACAGCGGAATCACTGTCGGAACTTTTTGTCCTTCGATGCCTATAATAATGAGCATCGGGATTATTTGTAGAGGACCCTTTTCGAGTTTCCATTGGACTTGCTTGATAAGCAAAAGGTGCTATTTCTTCTGGAGGAAAGTAACCATACCGAGTATTCATATCAGGTTGTACGGAATCAAAAGATTTTCTCCGAGGTTCGTCGTCTTCGGAAGGCAATGTTAAAGCAGATTTTACATTTCCGGCCGAAAGTTTTCGAACAAGGCCACCTCTTTTTGATGATCTAGCTGCCAAGTTATTCATTGATTGTAAACTAGGATCATAACTTGGAGAAGAAGGTCGAGAATTTGACCCAAAAATAAAAGAAAAAATTGAATCTTTTTCTTCACGGGATTTTTTCCGTTTGCTTTGACCACCGCCTGTAGGAGATTGTTCTGGTGGAGTAGGAGTACGAAATGGAGAAGGTGGGGAGATGTCCAATTCTGAAGATCGCCGTGGGGTCATAGATATTTAATTATATTAAAAATTATACGAACGAAAACATTTGATGATTGTTGATATTTCTTTTTGTAATATTTTATTGTAAACAAATTGTGAAACAAACCTCATAAATGTTTAACAAAATGTACAATAGCATAGATTGGATTGGATAGCTAATAAATTGATATTATGTTAAAAAAAAAAAAATGAAATACAGTAATAATACTTTAAAATTATATCTTAGCATTTGTATATAGTGTTTCTAATTAATTAATATATACTTTCTTATTTTTAATTATTAGTAATAATAGTTTTAGATATATTTTTTGATTTTAAATATTTTAAATAAGATTTAAACAAACCTATTTATTACTTATTTAAAATTGTTTACAACTGTAAAATTATCTAATTGTTTATTTATACTAATTAATAATACCAAATATTTAATTGAATGATAAAATTGAAATATATTTAATTATTTTTTTTAAATAACAAAATAATAAATATTTAGTTATAAATAAAACTAAATATTAAAATAATTAATTAAAATCTTTTTAATCTTATATATAATATATAATAATTAATTTAAATCATATAATATTTTAATTTAAAAATAAAAATATTTAAAATTAAAATATTGATTTTTAATTATTAAAATATTTAAAAAATATATAATAAAATATTTTAATTATATCAATTTAATTTTATTATTAAATTTTCTTATATAATAAAATAAAAGTATAAAATAATTAATTCTAAATAATAAAAATTTATATATTAATATTTAAAAGTTAAAAATATTCATTAAACTGTAAGTATAAAATTGTTTTTAAAACATTTTAGAAAATTTAAAATATTTTGATATCTAATAATTATAAAAAATAAAATAAAATTTTTAGATTTATAATATTATGATATATCTAATATTATATTTTTAAACTTTTAAAATTCATAATTATCAATATATATTAATTTTTCAATTTTTTAAGTTTTTAAAATAATTTATTATTTAATAATTACAAAAATATAAAATACTCTTTCCACTGATCTTCTCGTCTAAATATCTCCAATAACTAGAAAATAAAATACATACAAAAAAAAAAATCTAAACCTTATAATAAACTATTCTAAATACTTCAGATAACAATAAAGAACCTTGTGCTTCATCCTCTAATGATAATGAAAAGAGCAAAAATGAAGAAAACATTATAAAAATTACAAAAAGACAAAAAATTAATACCTTAAAATTTAATATTACTCCAATAAGTATAGAAGCTACAAATAATATTCAACTAATACTAATTACTATACAAATTACCTCTATTATTTCTATACTAAACTTTATTATTAAAGACTTAGAAGTGTACAAAATGGAAATAGATACTACTAGAAAAACTTCTCTTTCATTTCTGTAAGACTCTAGCACAAATAATTCTATTCATGCAAAGAACGTAACTAAGATTTTCAAACTATTTTCATCTATTTTAATCGTTGATAAAGAAAAACAAATAACTTTCTTAGGCTGACTAAGTGGAAGATAATGTAAACTAACTTGACCAATCATGTGAATCTAATATGAAAGATACCTCTTCAATATAATTACTTCTCTAATATATGAACAATAATTTTCTGTGTTTCATAGAATTTTACAGAAAATCACAAAATATAGATGATAATTTTTAAAATTTTGGCCTAATTTATCATCATAATACTGGCTAATATTAAGTTTAGCCAGAATTTGCAAATCGTAATATTAGCTGATCTTGTATAATTCTGATCAAATTACAGAATTTCACAGAATTAACTTTTATTATATGCAGAATTCATTCTTAATCACTACAAAAAATCATTGTTCCTACTCTAACACATTTTTTTGCATCTGATGATACAGCAAATATTACTAGAAATTTATTGTCAATAAACGTATTTCATTAATAGGCTGTTTGTTAACTTTTTAGGCTATCAAAAGTTTCGTATAACTCTAAACTAAGAAAGTTCTTTATTTATTTTTACTCTATTGAGCAACTAATACATGCAGTCACAAAAGTTCAGGAGATATAATATAACCTTGTATTTGTTATTGCCAATCCATCTGCAAAGAAATAAAGAATCGATGCTGAAAAAAGAAGATGCATCAGGATTAATGACATTTTTTTATTTATTAAATCAAATATAGTATGTAATTTTTTTAACAATATGACACAATTATATGATTTTTAATGATTATCAGAAACCTCTGGTAAATAGTATTCATAGTCTACGAATCATCTGATGCTATTAAACCTTTTTACAATAATGTATGATCATTACCATTATTAGATTTCACAGTTCATATTGAACCACTAATCTTAATGCTCTACAATTAATCTTACAATAACAATTTGAGTTAAAATTAACTGGTTTATCTTTTAATATAACACAATAAGATCTTTTTACTTTTTTTAACTCTATTAATACAAAGTCATATTTTATATCATAGGATCTCTAATATTAAAACTGTTCTTATATATATATTAATTTTAATAATCAGGATAATTACGATATTATATTAAATCTCAACATCAATTCAAATTAAATATGTTATTCTAGATTAATTCTGTTACGTCTCATTATCGTAGATATGATAATCTTAATTATAAAGTCAAGAATTATTCCCTCAAAAACCTTTAAACTTATATAAACAATTATATGATCATTTCAAATCTGCTTTCTTATAAATTTAATAACTGTCTAAATAATTATACTGTGAATATATAATCAATTCAAATTCAAAAAGGATCATATACTGATACTTTAAAAAATAACCTAATAACCCAAATCACCAATCGCAAGTTACTGATGCTACATTAGCTTTAAAAGATATTTTAAAATGTTTAAATAAAATTGATAACAAATTGATCATCCTTTTTGATGAGATTGTTATAACAAAAAATGAAATTATTATTCTCTAAGAAAATCACAAAGATATCAACTATCGCTTAACTAAATTAGAAAAATGTAATAACATAATTCACACTAAAGAAGTATATGATAATGAAATAGAACTTAAAGAATTTTTTAAACCTTTACCTAAATTCTTGCTTGATCAACTTAAAAAAAACCTTTAAATAGTGTCTCACTTTTAGAAAAAGTTACCAGTATTAAAAATCAATTTGCTAAATCCTGTTCTGAAATTAAGAACATTGCTAATAATATCTAACAGATCCTTCAAACAATTCCTTCCTCTTTTAAATAAGTGTACTTTTAACTAACTATTTTACAGGATTGCATCAAATAAATCCTATTAATAACAACATTTTTTCAAATGAAGCTTTTACAAATATTATTAATAATCTAAACCTTATTTCTTTTGTAACTCATAATATCTATAACTATTCTTCAGATTCTAAATTATAAAACATTAATTCCTTTTTTAATAATTTCAATATAGACATACTTAGTTTAAGTGAGACTCATTTAAACTTATTACAAGTTTACCATTATAATAAGAATATCTATAACAATTCTTTTAAATATTTTTTTCACTCTTCCAATCAGTTCAAAATTATCAAGATATTGGATTGATAGTCTGTAATAATCTAAGCATATACATTTTCAATCAAGTATCATTTTATGATTATATAATTTATCATGACTTTTAATTCAAAAACAAATTTAAACTTAGAGTCATTCAAGTATATTTACCTGTTTCTTATAATGATAAAAAAGATTTTTATTACTGTTTTCAAGTTCAAAATAAATTAATTAACATTTTTAACAAATAATTTACATCATAACTTTCATATTATTTTAATAGGAGACTTCAATATTAATATAAGTAGAAGATATAAATCTAAAATACAAAAACAACTGCAGAATTTTTTATATAATATCCTCAACCTAGGTTTTATTCATATTTTTATCCCTTCTAATCTACTTACCCTTTTACTTTTCATTTTTTCTCCTCATATGATTTAACCTTTTATATAGATTATATTTTCACCTTTACCAACCTCTTACATGATTTCACTTCTTTTAATATTTTGAACAATTTCTGTTATCTATATTTAACTAATCATTACCCTCTACTCATCACTTTTTACAAGAAAAACTTTTTCTTCTAGTTAACTTCAGCTTACTAAAAATAACATAAGATTACAAAACAAATATTTCTTTATAATAAAATTATCTATCTTCATTAGGATATTTTCTCTAATAAAGCTGATCTGCTACTCAGACAAAATGCTAAATTTAATAACATTATAATTCAAGAATTATGTGTCTCAAACAATTTTATCAATGAAGCCTGGGAGTTCTTTACCCAAACAATCATGACATCAGTATCCAAACATATTCTAGAATAAACCATGTCTGCTCACTACAATTTTCTTTATTCATGTTTAAATTTCTCTATTCATAAACTATAGATGCCTGCTGAAACCTCCTCAAAATAATTTTGTCATACCCTTTTCTATGTTTTTAATATAGTTTCGACAGTTTTGGCTTTTGTCGTATTGAATGGGTTTCGTCGTATCCCTTATTATGATTTTAATATAGTTTCATCTAAGTTTCAACTGTTATTAAGGGGTTTCGTCCCCCATCTATATCATAAACAAATCAATAAAATTCGAAGATTATACTATCAATGTAAAATTTTTCTTTATCTTTGTTATTTCTTAATATTATATTTCTCAATACATTTCTTATTACTACTAATAATCAAAAATTTATTCTTACAGTCTCTAGCGAAAAGAATAGTGGTATAATCT